ATAGTAGGGGGTATATAGTCAGGGTATATAGTAGGGGGGTATACAGTCAGGGTATATAGTAGGGGGTATATAGTCAGGGTATATAGTAGGGGTATATAGTCAGGGTATATATAGGGGGGTATATAGTAGGGGGGTATATAGTAGGGGGGTATAGTCAGGGTATATAGTAGGGGGGTATATAGTAGGGGGTATATAGTCAGGGTATATAGTAGGGGGGTATATAGTAGGGGGGTATACAGTCAGGGTATATAGTAGGGGGTATATAGTCAGGGTATATAGTAGGGGGTATATAGTCAGGGTATATAGTAGGGGGGTATACAGTAGGGGGGTATACAGTCAGGGTATACAGTAGGGGGGTATACAGTCAGGGTATATAGTAGGGGGTATATAGTCAGGGTATATATGAGGCCTCAGGTTCCTCGGGTGGGACACACATCACACCTCGCCTGTAGGGAAGTCTCCGGATTCCTGTCTCTCAGGTCAGCCCTGATTTTCCGGTTTCCCAGCTGCGGAGTGGAGTGTGAGCTCTGGGGCCCCGCACCCCCCCCCCCCCCCCCCCCCATCACTCCCAGGTAGAGGAGAACTTTCAGGAATGGAGATAACTGGGATAAAGTTCTGTTCCTAGGGGGGGGGGGGGTTCTCTGCACACAGCGGACTTCCTGTCCATCTGCCCCAGCGCAGATACCCCCCATCCCCCCCATCCCCCCCATCCCTGACTACAGGCAGAATGTTCTGGTATAAGGTGTGGGGGGGCCTCCATTACCAGGGTCACATCCATACTCCTCATTACTATACAGAGACCCCCCCCCCCCCCCCTCCTGTGCCCCCCCCGCAGCAGGTTCCTCTGCACATCATATGCAGTTTCCATGGTGACGGCATAAAGTATGAAATGTAACTGTCACCATAGAAACAGCATCCGTGTCTCCCATCCTCCATACATAGATGGCGGCTCACAGCAGACATGGATGACACCCATCCAGACAACACAGGACAGAGATGACTCCTCATTGTAGGTCCAGGATGGAGATGAGTCCTCATTGTAGGTCCAGGATGGAGATGACTCCTCATTGTAGGTCCAGGATGGAGATGACTCCTCATTGTAGATCCAGGATGGAGATGAGTCCTCATTGTAGGTCCAGGATGGAGATGACTCCTCATTGTAGATGGTCCTTACTGCTCTAAACAGTACAGAAGCCCCCTCACAGTTGAACCATTTCTCCAATTTCATGGAGTGGCCCCGTGTCTTCTTAAGTTCTCTAAAACGTAATCGTTTTCTCCCCGTGTTGGGATCACCATCGAGGTATCTGCATTTCTCTTCAGGATCTCTTCTCTCAGGGAGAATAGGTCTAGTGTTTGTAGTGTTTGGTCATAACTGAGCTCCTCCATCCCCCGTAACTGAGCTCCTCCATCCCCCGTAACTGAGCTCCTCCATCCCCCGTAACTGAGCTCCTCCCTCCCCCGTAACTAAGCTCCTCCATCCCCCGTAACTGAGCTCCTCCATCCCCCATCACTGAGCTCCTCCATCCCCCGTAACTGAGCTCCTCCATCCCCCATCACTGAGCCTCCATCCATCCCCCATAACTGAGCTCCTCCATCCCCATAACTGAGCTCCTCCCTCCCCATCACTGAGCTCCTCCATCCCCACAACTAAGCTCCTCCATCCCCCATAACTGAGCTCCTCCATCTCCCCCATAACTGAGCTCCTCCCTCCCATCACTGAGCTCCTCCATCCCCACAACTAAGCTCCTCCATCCCCCATCACTGAGCTCTCCAACTATAATAACTGAGCTCCTCCATCCCCCATAACTAAGGTCCTCCATCCTCCGCAACACCTCCAACATCGCCAAAATCCGCACGTTCCTAACCCCAGAAACCACTAAACAGCTCATCCCACTCTCCTCATCATATCACGACTCGACTACTGCAACTCCCTCCTCACTGGCCTGCCTCACCACAGGCTATCCCCGCTTCAGTCCATCCCTGAATACGGCAGCCAGACTCATTCACCTTTCCAACCGCTCCATCTCCGCCAACCCCCCCCTCTGCCAATCCCTCCACTGGCCTCCACTCAGTGTCCTCCACCCCCCTCTGCCAATCCCTCCACTGGCCTCCACTCAGTGTCCTCCACCCCCCTCTGCCAATTCCTCCACTGGCCTCCACTCAGTGTCCTCCACCACACTCCCCCTCTCTGCCAATCCCTCCACTGACCTCCATTCAGTGTCCTCCACCCCTCTCTGCCAATCCCTCCACTGGCCTCCACTCAGTGTCCTCCACCCCCCTCTGCCAATCCCTCCACTGGCCTCCATTCAGTGTCCTCCACCCCCCTCTGCCAATCCCTCCACTGGCCTCCATTCAGTGTCCTCCACCCCCCTCTGCCAATCCCTCCACTGGCCTCCATTCAGTGTCCTCCACCCCCCTCTGCCAATCCTCCACTGGCCTCCACTCAGTGTCCTCCACCCCCCTCTGCCAATCCCTCCACTGGCCTCCACTCAGTGTCCTCCACCCCCCTCTGCCAATCCCTCCACTGGCCTCCACTCAGTGTCCTCCACCCCCCTCTGCCAATCCCTCCACTCAGTGTCCTCCACCCCTCTCTGCCAATCCCTCCACTGGCCTCCACTCAGTGTCCTCCACCCCTCTCTACCAATCCCTCCACTGGCCTCCATTCAGTGTCCTCCACCCCCCTCTGCCAATCCCTCCACTGGCCTCCATTCAGTGTCCTCCACCCCCCTCTGCCAATCCCTCCACTGGCCTCCATTCAGTGTCCTCCACCCCCCTCTGCCAATCCCTCCACTGGCCTCCATTCAGTGTCCTCCACCCCCCTCTGCCAATCCCTCCACTGGCCTCCACTCAGTGTCCTCCCCCACCCCCCTCTGCCAATCCCTCCACTGGCCTCCACTCAGTGTCCTCCACCCCCCTCTGCCAATCCCTCCACTGGCCTCCACTCAGTGTCCTCCACACCCCCTCTGCCAATCCCTCCACTGGCCTCCACTCAGTGTCCTCCACCCCTCTCTGCCAATCCCTCCACTGGCCTCCATTCAGTGTCCTCCACCCCTCTCTGCCAATCCCTCCACTGACCTCCACTCAGTGTCCTCCACCCCCCTCTGCCCAATCCCTCCACTGGCCTCCATTCAGTGTCCTCCACCCCCCTCTGCCAATCCCCTCCACTGGCCTCCATTCAGTGTCCTCCACCCCCCTCTGCCAATCCCTCCACTGGCCTCCATTCAGTGTCCTCCACCCCCCTCTGCCAATCCCTCCACTGGCCTCCATTCAGTGTCCTCCACCCCCCTCTGCCAATCCCTCCACTGGCCTCCATTCAGTGTCCTCCACCCCCCTCTGCCAATCCCTCCACTGGCCTCCACTCAGTGTCCTCCACCCCCCTCTGCCAATCCCTCCACTGGCCTCCACTCAGTGTCCTCCACCCCCCTCTGCCAATCCCTCCACTCAGTGTCCTCCACCCCTCTCTGCCAATCCCTCCACTGGCCTCCATTCAGTGTCCTCCACCCCCCTCTGCCAATCCCTCCACTGGCCTCCATTCAGTGTCCTCCACCCCCCTCTGCCAATCCCTCCACTGGCCTCCATTCAGTGTCCTCCACCCCCCTCTGCCAATCCCTCCACTGGCCTCCATTCAGTGTCCTCCACCCCCCTCTGCCAATCCCTCCACTGGCTTCCCTTTGCCCAATGGATAAAATTCAAAACATTAACAATAACATATAAAGCCATTTATAACTCCGCCCCAAATTACATCCCACCTCTAAATATCACCAAACTGTCCTCTCCGCTCCTCCAACGACCTCCTGCTCTCTAGCTCCCTTGTCTCCTCCTCCCATGCTCATCTCCAGAGCTTCCCCCATCCTCTGGAACTCTCTACCCCAATCTATCAGACTATCGCCTGCTCTGCTCACTTTTAGGCGATCTCTTGTAGTTTCCCATCCCGTTATTTCATCGAGGACGTCTGGTGACGTTATCGTCCTGCTTAGCTTTGTATGGTCAGAAAACACTGAGATCGACTTCTATATCATTTCTGAGTGAATTATACAGAACTGGTCCCAGGACCGAGCCATGAGGTACCTCCACTTACCCCTCCAGACCAGTCTCAGTACTCGCTATTTATTACCCCCCCCCCCCCCCTTTGTACACGCCCCTGTAACCTGTTTTCTATCCACTTACATACTTACTGACCTCAACCCCATAGAACACCTTTGGGATGAATTAGAGCGGAGACTGCGAGCCAGGCCTCCTCCCCCGACATCAGTGCCCCTCCCCCGACATCAGTGCCCCTCCCCCGACATCAGTGCTTGACCTGACAAATGTGCTTCTGGAAGAATGGTCCAACCTTCCCATAGACACCCTCCTAAACCTTGTGGACGGCCTTCCCAGAAGAGTTGAAGCTGTTATAGCTGCAAAGGGCGGGGCCAACCCAATATTGAACCCTACGGACTAAGGCTGGGGGGCCCATGAAAGGTCATGTGCGGGGAAAGGGCGGGGCCAACTCAATATTGAACCCTACGGACTAAGGCTGGGGGCCCATGAAAGGTCATGTGCGGGGAAAGGGCGGGGCCAACTCAATATTGAACCCTACGGACTAAGACTGGGGGGCCATTAAAGGTCATGTGTGTGGGAAGGGCGGGGCCAACTCAATATTGAACCCTACGGACTAAGACTGGGGGGCCATTAAAGGTCATGTGTGTGGAAAGGGCGGGGCCAACTCAATATTGAACCCTACGGACTAAGACTGGGGGGCCATTAAAGGTCATGTGCATGGAAAGGGCGGGGCCAACTCAATATTGAACCCTACGGACTAAGACTGGGGGGCCATTAAAGGTCATGTGCATGGAAAGGGCGGGGCCAACTCAATATTGAACCCTACGGACTAAGACTGGGGGGCCATTAAAGGTCATGTGCATGGAAAGGGCGGGGCCAACTCAATATTGAACCCTACGGACTAAGACTGGGGGGCCATTAAAGGTCATGTGCATGGAAAGGGCGGGGCCAACTCAATATTGAACCCTACGGACTAAGACTGGGGGGCCATTAAAGGTCATGTGCATGGAAAGGGCGGGGCCAACTCAATATTGAACCCTACGGACTAAGACTGGGGGGCCATTAAAAGTCATGTGTGTGGGAAGGTGGGAGACCAATACTTTTGCCAGTATAGTGTATCTATTTCTATATATATATCTATATCCACACTAATATTTATATACTGGACCTCTATATATACAGTATTTGTATATCTCTTCATCTGTCTATAGATCTCTCTGTATATATCTCTGTGTATCTACATGTATTGATCTCTATATATCTATATGTACATGTATTGATCTCTATATATCTATATCTACATGTATTGATCTCTATATACAGGATGTATCTCTCTAGAGATCTATATTCCTATTTCTGTCCTTTCATCTACGCGCGGGTATTTCCCGTCGGGCGTTGCTCCCCCGGTTCCTGTGTGGCACAGATTGGGGATAATCTGATTAATATAATCGTTGGCCCCCTCCACTCGCAGACCGCGGATTACATGTCCTGACCTGGCCGCTCGCCATCGTGTACCGCGCTCGCCCTCTCATGTGACTCGTCTGTGATAGTTCAGTAGACGCAGGAAGGCCCCGGGACTCTCGGTACATTTCATGGTACAAAGTTGGTTGTTGTCACTACAATCCTCCTGAGGAGATCTATGTCCATACGCCACAGGCTGCAGATTATAATGTATATTAGTTTCTGGCCCTGGAGATGGCCCCACTGGACAACCAAACCAGACCTACCTGTGTGCATACTTACCTTCATCCATTCCCTGATCCATCATGGCTGTGAGGTTTGGATGTGTATATGGTGACTGATGTCATTCCCAGGGATGAGGTGTTGGTGAAGTGGCGTCCCCGCGGGTTCTCAGGACAGCGTGGTGCACTGCAATCCCAGCATGCCTTACTTCATATATTGGTCTATATCAGCCTTTCTCGTACTTTTTAGCGTAGAGGAACCCTTGAAATAACTGAGGTCCCAGGAAATCCCTGCGAAAACCACTTCATTGGGGGTCTGTGGAGAAAAGGGCCCCTTACATTGGTGACCACTAAGAAGATTGTCCCTTTAGAGTGCTGCTCAGAATGCCCCCCCCCTTACAGACAGCTACAAGGATCACTGATGTCTCCTGGGAGCCCTGCTGCATGGAAGGTCACTCCTTCACCACAAACTCCATTCACAGAATGCCTCGTATTCCTTTCAATGAATGCAAAGCGTTCTGTGATTGGACCAGGTGGAGAGGTGGGACAGTGAAATCACAAGCTCTACTTTCATCCAATCACAAAATGCTTCGCCTTTATGGAGAACAATGCAAGGCGTTCAGTGAATGGAGCCTATGCTGAGTGAGCGATCTCCTGTGGTTAGTATGGATGAGGGCACCCGGAAACCAGCGGCAGTCACTGTAGTAGCGGCAACTACTACAATCATTCTCTTCTCCCCTATCGGCCAATCATGTGTAGTCCATGAATATTTATATTGGCCCAATGGAACTATGGAACTAACAAAATCCATACCTGGGGTTCAACTCTAAAGCTGAATTGCAGGAAAGCTGAATGCGTATATATATATGTGTAATTCTTCCATACATGTCCTGTCCGCGCCCCCCAGCCTGTGTCTGGAGTAGCAGTAGACTAATCAGCTCATTTCTCTGTCTCTCTCCTTCTATCAGCATGCTTCCTGTTATCATATGGGCACTACTACAGCCTGCCTGCTTAGGGCCTTGTACTGCTTCTCCCTCTCTCAGTCTGAGCTTGGGACCTTGTACTGTTTCTCCCTCTCTCAGTCTGAGCTTGGGACCTTGTACTGCTTCTCCCTCTCTCAGTCTGAGCTTGGGACCTTGTACTGCTTCTCCCTCAGTCTGAGCTTGGGACCTTGTACTGCTTCTCCCTCAGTCTGAGCTTGGGACCTTGTACTGCTTCTCCCTCCCTCAGTCTGAGCTTGGGACCTTGTACTGCTTCTCCCTCCCTCAGTCTGAGCTTGGGACCTTGTACTGCTTCTCCCTCTCTCAGTCTGAGCTTGGGACCTTGTACTGCTTCTCCCTCCCTCAGTCTGAGCTTGGGACCTTGTACTGCTTCTCCCCCTCCCTCAGTCTGAGCTTGGAACCTTGTACTGCTTCTCCCTCAGTCTGAGCTTGGGACCTTGTACTGCTTCTCCCTCTCTCAGTCTGAGCTTGGGACCTTGTACTGCTTCTCCCTCTCTGAGCTTGGGACCTTGTACTGCTTCTCCCTCTCTCAGTCTGAGCTTGGGACCTTGTACTGCTTCTCCCTCTCTCAGTCTGAGTTTGGGACCTTGTACTGCTTCTCCCTCAGTCTGAGCTTGGAACCTTGTACTGCTTCTCCCTCAGTCTGAGCTTGAGACCTTGTACTGCTTCTCCCTCAGTCTGAGCTTGCAACCTTGTACTGCTTCTCCCTCAGTCTGAGCTTGGGACCTTGTACTGCTTCTCCCTCTCTCAGTCTGAGCTTGGGACCTT